TGGGCTGACCCTGAGGAAATACCTCCCAGAAGACTTCACCACAGTGATGCTGGTCTCTTGTTACTTACAGCTGATTTTTCAGCCCCCGCTAACCAGCATCAATTGTCCCAGTAAAGCAAAGGTTTTACTTCAGATTCTGGTCTCTTCTTAATCACAGCTGATTCTTCAGTCCCAGCCAACCAGAACCCAATCCAAAATCTCACATGAACAGCCCTGATTGTCTCCGCTTCCCTTTGAAGATTCACAAGCCAGGCCCCCATTGTCTACAACTCTTTCAGCATAACTTTTCTAAGCTCCACTGCAACAAACTCTGAGCACACAATGGCTTTTCCAGCTCAAAGTTCCAAACACTTCCGCAGTCCTCCTTGAAATACGAAGGTCAGGTCTGTCACAGCAATTCCCCACACTCTGGTACCAATTACTGTCTTAGTTTGTTCTTCATTGCTGTGACAAAACACTCTGACCAGTACCAACTTGGGGAGGAAAGGGTTTATTTGTCTTACATCTCCCAGGTCGCACGCAGTTCATCAGGGAGCCCAAGGTAGGAACTCAGGGCAGGAACCTGGAGGCAGGAGCTGGAGCACAGGCCATGGAGGAACGCTGCTTACAGGCTTGCTCCCCTGGCCCCTGCCCAGCCTGCCTTCTTATGCAACACAGGCCCACCTGCCCAGGGGTGGCACCACCGAATCCACCAGCAAGCCGTGAGATCAGGGATGAGAACAGTCCAGGAGCTTCAAGACAGGAGCAAAGATGTGGGGAATTTGTGAAACACAGCAGCCTCATGATGAAACCTAGAGGACACTGTAATAAATGGAGCACTGGGGATTCAAGATAACAAGGCTTTGAGGATTTGAGCATCAGAGAGAGAGAGCTAAGATCTCAGACTGGTGACAGGGCCCTGAGTACTAACGGGCAGGTTGTAGAATGTATCCTTAGTGTCCCACATATGGAGAAGGCACTGGGGACACACATCATAACATCCTTCCTGGGGAGAACCTACAGCCCAAATCATTGAATAATAAAAACCTGATGGCATGCGGGGTGTGGTGGCATACACCTTTAATCCTAGCATTCAGGAGGCAGAGGCAGGCAGCTCTCTGAGTTCAAGGCCAGCCTGGTCTACACAGTGGATTCCAGGCCAGCTGGGGCTACAGGGAGACCCTGTCTCAAAAAACAAAAACAGAAAACCTGATAGCGGCAACCAAATGGGAGAACCAACGGGAAAATGCTTAAATTTCACATCCCAGAATAGGGCAAAGGACATTTGAGACCCATCTGTCACATACAGACCTGTTTGAAACCCACTGGAAGGTTTCTGCCAAGAGGGAGCCCAGCAGACACATGGGAGATCCCCTGCCCTCCCCCCACAGTAAGCGAAGGGCTGAGGACAGTGTGGGAGGAAGGTCCTACCCTCTGCTGGGACAGACACACTGTAGCAATCTAGAGCAAGACCATCCAAGATTCCAACACTCTAGTCCTGAGGACCACAGGATGCCATGCTGCTGGGAGGCAGTGGTATGGTGATATGTTTCCCATCAATGTGGAGAGCTCTTGATGCAGAAGTGTTTGCTGTAAGCCAGGAACAGCCTCCGGGAGAATAAGAGCCCAGAGAGCATGTGTCTAGTGTGGCTGATTGGCTCAAGTTTTCCTTCATGAAAGGGATAGAACGTATTAAACAATAAATCTCCCAGTGCTGATTGAAAGATGAACTTTCTAAACTGCACTGAAGGACATGCCCTTCTAGTTTGGTTCTTTGGAGTCGGAAATAGCCTGCTAACTCAGGTCTGAGTTTGTCACATTGTTTTTAGGCCTTGTACATGGTCTGTCTTGGTCAATGGCACACATATACTTGAAAAGAACAAACATGCTTTCTGTTGTTTTAGAGAATGCTCTAGAAATGCCAGCTGGGCCTAGAGGTGCAGTGGTGCTTGAGTCTTCTCTAGCCTTGTGGATTTTCTCTCTGTTTTTGTGGATTCCGATGAGGGGAGAGTTGATGTCCTGGGTAAAGATGGAGAAAACGGGCTGGAGAGATGACTCAGCAGTTAAGAGTATTTGCTGTTCTTGCAGAGGACCTGGGTTCCATTCCCAACACCCACATAGTGGCTCACAACCATCTGTAACTCCAGTTCCAGGAGACCTGATGACCTCTTCTGGCCTCTGTGGGCGTCGCATTTATATGGTGCACTTAGATACAAGCAGGCAAAACACTCATACACATCAAATAAAAACAAATCTTTAAAAAGTTCCTAAAAAGTAGGAACAGCTGACCAAAGACAAGGATAGATGTCTTCTAAAAAAATGTGAAAAATCAGTACACACTAAGATGTCCACTCCCACAGCAGTCAGAGATGCGTAATCCAAGCCGAGGGGGCAGAACCGCATTCCCACGGGACTGGAAGAAAGAAGAACCATGCAAGGGTGGGAGAAGGAGGCGCATAACTACGGCTCTGTCAGAGAACCATGTGCCAATAGTGGATTCAACTGACCACAGTGTGCCTCTTATTCCTGAGCCATCTGCCCCCAATGTGTGCCCAATAGAAAGACATAGATATGCTTTTAAGTTATTATTACTATTTGTGTGTGCACATGCCTGTATGCTTGTGGAGGCCAGAGGTTGATGTCTGAGTGAGTGTTTTGTCTGCATGTGTATAAGTGTACCTTTGTCATGCAGTGCCTATAGAGGCCAGAGAAGGGCATTGGATCCTCTGTAACTGGAGTTACAGATGGTTGTTAGCCACCATGTAGGTACTGGGAACTGAAACTGAGTCCTCTGGAAGAGCAGCCAGTTCTCTTAATCACTAAGCTATCTATCCAGCCCCTCCACCTTATTTTTTGAGATATGGTCAATCACTGAACCTGGAGTGGTCGGTTTGGTTAGACTGGTCAGCCAGCCAGCTCTGGGGATCTACCTGCCTCCAGTTATGATTACAGATGGCCACCACCACTTTCAATTTTTACATGGGTGCTGGAGATCTGAACACAGGTCCTACATGGCAAGCACTTTTCCCACAGAGCCATCGCCCTAGCCGTGTGTGTGTGTGTGTGTGTGTGTGTGTGTGTGTGTGTGTGTGAAACCGAATCTCACATAGCCCAGTCTGTCCTCGAACTAAAAATGTAGTTGAGGGCAACCTTGAACTTCTGATCCTCCTGCCTCTACTTCCCATTGCTGGAGTGGAAAATAGACATGTACTCCACAGCCTTCCCACAGCAGCCCTGCTGATACTGTTACAAACTGACACAACTCAAATGTCCACTGCAGAGAAAATGCATGATAAATGGTACAGCGCCCACACAGTGAGCACACAAGAACTATGACTGTGTGGTGAATGGACAAAGCCCAAGCTGAGGAAGAGAGGGAGGCACAGGAGTACAGTTCATGGGATCAAGCTCACATAAACCAGATTCAGTAATGGACCCAGTCAGTGAAGAACAGTAACCTTTGGGCACTGGTGAGAAAATGGGTGCTGGCCTGCTGATGGTGAGTCTGTGTATTCTGTGTGCGCGTCACCCACGAGCCCAGCAAATAGCAAGAAATGTCAAACGGGATTAAAGTAATAGAAGCTCTTTCCTGCAAACAGTGAGTGTCAACAGCATATCTGCATGGAAAGTGTTTTTGTATCTAAGTCTCAATACAAACCCCAGTGCCTGACCATTCTACTACCCTCTTTGTGCTGTGTCCTGAGCAGTATGCTTCCAACTCGGGTCAGAACATCAAGGCAGGGGCTTGCAACTGGCATTTTTCAATAGACTGGAATAGAAGAGGCTAGAGAAAAGCAGCTAAACTCAAGTGTATTCTCATGTAACTATTTACAAACACAAGTGCACACTATGGACACATACAGGGAGGCCCAGGCTTGTCCCCGAAAAGGGCAGTTCTGGGACCTCCCAATGGCTGTGTGCCAGTGGACCTCAATTCGATGGGTGGGAGGGGGATTGCAACATCAAGGGTGGTCCAGGGCATGGAATACCGGGCCCTTAGACATTTCTTCTGAGAAAGTACCAGTGTCCAAGAGCAGTGTGGGATGAGCTGCCTACATGGGATGGAACCCAGGGCCCTGCGCCCTGGTCTTAGTTTACTAGGGAGATAAGGGTCCCTAAGGAGGCGATGTCACTGAAGGACAGCTGTCAGTTTCAGTTCTCAAGGAGAGAGATGTCATGCCAGGTAGGAGCCTGGGGCAGGTGGGGGGACCAGATCCATCAGGAGGCAAGAGGAACTAGAGAAGGAGGTGGTAGTACCTTTCAGATGTTTCTGTGAGAAGGCCACGTGGAGCAGTGGAAACAGCCCATGGCCAGTCTAGACACTTCCTCAGGCTCTGGGCTGCAGAGGGATCTGTAGTTATCCTGTGGCTGACTCTGGTATAAGTTTGGTAAGGAATGGGTGCTGCCCTTGATGGCCCATCAGGCATGAAGTTGGGCTCCAGACGAGCTGGGCACTAGAAACTGGCCAGCCTAGAAACAGCAGTCTTGGGTCTGAAAGGCCCCAGCATGTCAAGACATCCCAGAAAGCAAAGAAACATGATTGACACAAAGAGAAATGGGAACACACACCCTCAGTGACAAGCATAGGTACCTGTAGCACCTTGACTGACGTCTGGAAATGGGGGTACACACTGATGGAAGACACGCTGTGACTGTTTATTCAGACAGAAAGCAACTAAGAACCAGCAAGCACATGACAGCAATGGGACCAGTACACACGGCACTGCAGATGAACCTTGGCATGGTCAGAGTGAAAGAAGGCAGATGTTACAGGGTCCTTTGTGGGATCCCAGGCCTGTGATGACCAGGAGCCAGCGCAGCAGTCTCCAGGACTCACATCTGAGCTGCCACTGCCCATGGGACCGAGGGTAGGAGAGTGCTGAGAACTTTGAGGGGATGATGTCCACACATCAGAGAGGAACGTATGGGGCTATGTTGTCTGTTTCTTGACGCTCACTGGCCCCAAAGCCTCAGATCAAGCATTTTACCCTAATTAAACTTCAACCTGACCACAGACCAACACTGGAGGCAGGTAGACAACAGGCTGGCTGGCTGGACATAGGAGGATCATAGGTTTTATTTTCCTTTCCTGGACTGTCTGTGTGAAGGCAGGAATGGGCTGGCAGGAGCATCCCAGCCACTTACTTTTCCTGACCCAGAAAAGAACATCAAGCAGCCTTGCCCAGGGTGCCATAAGAGCCCTGCCCTATCTGCTGCTGTGTGTACATCTGAAGTTGGAAGTGTGTATGCAGCATGATGGTGGTGCTCACATCTGATAAGTGCATCTGTTGCCTCCTCCAAGGCCTGTGCCCCCCACCCCCAGCTTCTGAATTTTGGCAAGAATTCCCCCACCAGAGCTATCTCCAAACATCCTAAAGGCTCCAGTCAGGGGACAGTGTGGATGGGGACCTAGCCAGTCAGCAGAGTGAGGGCAGATCGAAGTAGAGTCCTTGGTGCCCTGAGGACTCTGGGGAAGGTCTAAGTTTAAGTCTAGAGGTCCAGGGTTTAATACCTCGGCCTCTGTATCTCATTCCTGTACACAGGAATGTCCTGAGGCCATTCAACTCAGGCCTCCAACTCAGGGTCTTTCTTCCTCCAGCGCCCTGGAGTGACCAGCAGCTCCATGTTTAGAGGTGAGCTTGCCTGTAGGTGGACAGGTAGGGACAATGCTGCCCCCTTGGCATGCCTCCATCCTGACATCCTCATTGAGCTGGAACTGGCGAGTTGTACCATGGGGGTAGCAGCTGTTTCTACTGGAAGCTTGGTGTGTGTCAGTTCAGAACTTCACTAAGTTCTTCATTTCTGAAGTCCCCAAGACTGTCCAAATGGGGACCTCAGCTTTCAGGCCAAGGACAAGCTGGCTAAAGGTACAAGGTCCAGCTCTGCCAAACCCACCTAGCTGAGAGCAGTGGAAGGCAACTGGGAACCTGACACAGGAAGATCCCTTTTGGCGTCTCCCTCACTCATGGTGGGGCTGTTCTGCCTTTGGGCCAATGGGCTCTTGGAATCTCACAGGGGTGCATAAAGTGTGTGTTCCTTCTGCCCCACTGCTAGGACTTCTTGAGGCTGCCTGGTGCCATCTTGGAGGAAGGAAGAGGGATCCCCTCAGGTTTTCCCTGCCACCTGGGGGCAAGACAGACTGGGAAAAGTTCTCCTTAGTCTATGGCCCTGAGAGAATGAGTCAGAGGGCCTGGTTTGCTTGGAAGCCTCTGAGCAGCCCACCCTAGTCCACAATATCTCAGGAGCTTCTCATCACCTCTGTTGCCCCAAAGAGTACAAGACGTGTTCAGGGGAAATGTGGTCTTACCACGGGACTATGACAAGAAGTCTTTCCCTTAGTCTTTTGAGTCCAGAGAGGCAGAAACATAGAAGAGTGCAGGAAAGACCTGCAAGGGGACCAGACATGACTTTGCTCACAGCCCTGGGAATTCCAGTGCCTCTGCCTCTAGGTATCGCTGGGCCCTGGAAACTACTTAACACTGATTCTAGTGATACTGAAATGGGACTTCCCGGGGCTTCAGTCTTGCTTTGAGGGGCTGCACTGTTCTGTGAATAGGACCTACACAAAGGGCTTGGCTTCTCCCCAACTCACCCCAAACTAAACAAAGCAGATCCTGCCTGGGCCCAGGCCTGGCAGAGCTGGAGGGTCTTCTCTCATCCAGTGAGTCAGAGAGCAACCTGGGAGGGGAGGAATGAGGGGTCATATCCTGGGGGAGGGAGGGGTGTGGACAGCACAGGCGCAGTGGGAGCTGCCTGGCCTGATGAGCCCCACAGGGATAAGGGCCTCTGAGAACTGAAGGGGGTGAAGCCTTACGGCCCCATGGGACAGTTGAGGCCATCTCCAGGCCGTCTGCTGAGACGTGGATGAGCATGCGCTGTCTGTAGGTCAGGGGGCAACTGTTGCCTGCTCTGGAGAAACTTTAATGGGGCTTAGTCTGTGACTCTGCCTGCCCCAGTCCCCAGCCGGCTGCACCGAGGCCCACCAACGACCAGAACCATTTCTGCTTTCAGTCCTCAGAGGCAGCACCTCTCTTAGGTATCTCACAGCAGGTTTGGAAGATGAGGATAACTGGTAAATAGCATGGCCCCACAGAGCCCAGGGAGCTGGGATGAGCAGGTCTGGCTCCTGCCGTACCCCTAGATCATGCCAGCCAGCCAGGGTGGCAGGAAGAGGCCCACAGTGCCCAGCAGGCAGACGATGATGAACATCCATAGGAAGATTCGGTCAATGACCATGGCCACGTACTTCCAGTCTTCCTTCACCTGCAAACATAGACATGGGTCACTCTATCCATCAGGTCCCATGGGCAACCAGAGAACTTTCTGGAACCTGGAATTGTGAGTCACAGGTTCAGCATTTCCCACCAGGTATTCACCTGCACAACACTTGTTGGGGGGTGATAAGTAGAGGGGCATCATCTGGTTGCCAAAATACAGTCAGAGAACTGATGGAAGGGGCAGGAGGAGGTGCCTTGTGGGTATGCTCAGCATCTAAAGAGCTCATGTGTAAGGTTGTATGTGCAGAGCCCTTCGATTCAGACTCATTGGAGCTTCCTGTTAGGCCCCAGGAGACATGGGGTTCGTGCCACACCACCATTTGCTTCACTGAGCTCAAAAGGAGCAGAGCCCACATGTTTTGGACAAACACAGGGCCCATGACTTTGGGATGAAATTTATCTTCAGTTTGCTAAAGCTCGGGAGCAAAGTCTACCTAACTACTATGCAGATGTCAAAAGTGGATCCCAGAGGTGGTCAGTCACATGTGCTGACCCAGCAGGGTGAGGGCCAGGAGCATGCTGGGTAATGGGCTGAGCACTAAGAAGGACCTCCTGAGCCATTCCCCAGTGGATGAAGGCCCAAGAGCAAGAGCTGAGGCCCAATGTCCACACCTGCCTCTGCCCTGGGCCTGATTGTCCATACCTACTTCCTATGTGGGCAGGTGTTCACAAGCAGCAAAGTCAGCCTGAACAGACACTGGGTGGTGGCAATGATGCCAAGAGATGTTCCACGGAGGATCGGAGACAGTGGCAATAAGCAAATATGAAGCATGTGTTTACCAACTGTGGCCACTTATCCCTCACCTGGACTATCCAATAATGTGGGGACATTGAGGTGCAAATGACTAAGACCCACAGGCTCCTCTGAATCCCAGAGTGAATCCCAGCTTGCCTCTGCCAGGGGCTAGTGCAGGGCTGTCATTTCCCTCGAGTTGTCCCCAGAAGCAAAGACTCAGAGAACTGATGCCTGGGCCTGACTAGACCTGAGTTAGTATTGCTCTAGAAAGGTAAGGTGGATGTTGCTTACACACTGCCTTCCCTGAGCCTTCTCCTGCCTGTCCAACAAGCGTGGTAACTTCCCTGAGCCTTCTCCTGCCTGTCTAACAAGCGTGGTAACTTCCCTGAGCCTTCTCCTGACAGGCCGACCAGCATGGTAACTTGTCCAGAATGACCTGGAATAGGCCTAAAGTTTATCAGAACTGCCTCAGGGACACTGCACATGTGAGCAGTGAGGGGAGAATGTGGCCAGCAGGGCTGGGGCCAGCTGAGGAGCACATGACCTGGTAGGCCTGGGCCAGGGCTGTGATGATTACAAGAGCAACTTCCCTGAGCTTTCAAAGTAATCTCAGGTATCCTGGTGGTTTAAACCAAACCTAAGTGGCCATTTTTACTAGAAAACCTCAGAGCAAACGGGTCTCTGCTGAATAAAAAGCCCCTCGGGGAGCTCCTTAGAGCAAGTGCTGCCTGGTATCCATCTTCTACCTCCTAAGCCCAGCTTCCAGAGATGAAACACCACAGCCATGGTCGAAAGCATCATTGTCCTGTCCTTATGAAGTCATTTAGCTTCCTAGACCCAGAACCAGGTCAGGCAGCCATAGCAGATCAGTGGGAATGGAGACGGCTCTAGGACTCTGCCAGGATTATGCTGATTTCAGAAGGATTTTGATTAAACTTGCTGTGTCCTCTCTCAGTGACCTCACCACACGTCAGACCTGGAGCTTTCTCCATCCCAGTGTTGTGGCAAGACACGGTCCCAGAAACAAGACTTCTCCTCAGACAGGTCTCTGAGACCCAGAATGCTCCAGAGACCTCCAGAATGGCTTCATGGTTTCTTGAGACTCAGTGGGGTGACTCTGAGAGTAGTGACTCACTCCTGGGTTATGGGACACCAAATCCCCTTCTTTTCAGGGTCTAGCAGCTCTGGAAGACAGATGGCAGATGTCTGGAAGTAGAGGCCAGACAGGCCCAGGTTAGGAAGGAGGAGCCAGCAAAACCAAGGTCCCAGGAGGGACAGCAGCAAGTACCAGGCCAGGGCAAAGGTCAACGAGGACAGATGCCTAGAAGCACCACATTTCAGCTGGCACAGCAGAGACATAGGCCTCCAGAGACAGGACCTCCCTTGCTGGCCTTCCCTGAGCTCTGACTGGAACTCTGACACACCCACCTGTGCCCCATCACAGGCAAAGTCAGACTTGGGAAGCAGCCTGCCTGGTATGAGGGGTCCCGAGTCTCAGCATCTTCTGGGAGACCCCACATGACAGGCAGGCAAATATGAAAGGAAAGAACACTGGCACCCTGGTGGTAGGGCCAGATAAAGCTGGTACAGACATGAAAGCCACACTCCAACAAACAGCACAGCACAAAGGACCAATGCCTGCAGAGGGATATGGCCATTTTTCAGGCCTACGTCCAGTTGAAGCTTGGAGCATAAAGTATGAGTAGGGTAGGCTGGCTGAGTACCCGCTCTCTGTATCCCCAGGTCCCTAAGGGCCTTGCAGCTGGGCAGTATTATGCTCCTACTCCACGACCCTCCAAAGGACTGACAGGGGTGGGTATGGGCTATCTCTCCTTCTAGTAGCCTTACTTCATCTTCTCTTGGCCCCTGTCAGTCTTTCTAGGGTCCAGAGGCCCACCCCCCCAGCAAGTGGGAGCCCAGAGGAATGCTGTGGTTGGGGTTTCAGGTCAGCAGCAGCAGCCCCATTGCATTTGGGAGAAGGCCAGTGTGGACCCTTGCGTATCACCCAGGCATGGTTGGGCAGGAGTTCCAAGTGGCCGGCAACAGTCTGAAAATTCCCAAGGAGGACCCTATGGGTGTTAGAATGACAGTGCTGGAGGCTGTCTCTCACCCAACTGCATGCCAGGGCTCAGGAGTCCTGACGCCTGAAGGGTCAGCACCTCAGTACTGCCCACTAGCTGCTCTGGGTCTCCTGCCCCACTTAATACTGGCTTGACCCAGAGACTTGTAAGGGTTGCTGAGCAGAGGCCACACTGCACACCTTAAAGTTGAGCAACTTTTGTCAAGGGTCTAGATTTCTGGATTATGGGTGAAAATGAGATATCTCATTCCATTTGGGCCAGGGGCACCTCCCTGGGCACAGTTATTGACAGGGACTTACCGAGAAATCTGTGTCTTCTGCCTTGAGGTGATCTGCAATGTACTGGACACCCTCTACTGCCCGTGTCAGGGCTGGTGACAGGGGCAGGTGCTGGGGAGGCACTTTGGTGCCTCGGGCCTTGAGCACAGTGACTGGGGACACAGGGGATGGCTCCTTGCATGTGCATTTGCATGGAGAGGTCTGGTTTAGGGGTGGGAGCTCGGCTGGGTGGGCCTTCAGGGAGGCTGGAGAGCCAGTCTGCTGGTTGTTATCCAGGGAGGTAGTGCCATCTCGGGGAACACAGTACTGAATGCTCCGAGACCGGCAGCGGATGCCGCCTTCTGCTGCGTTTCGGGGGCTGGACACATGCTGGACACTCAGGGACCTGGCTTTTGCAAGCCCTTTGGCCCCAATGCTGTTGGGTGAGTGACAGGAGCCAGGTGACGGATGGGGGCTAGTTTTCTTAGTCTCCAAGGGCTGCAAATCAGGGACCTGGTGGGATGGCGACTTGCAGGTAGGCTGGGCCTCAACCGTTATGTCTACAGGGACGCAGAAAGATGGGGTGGGTGACAGGCCCTGGCTTCGGACTCCACTCAAGATGCCAGGCTCACCTTCGGGCTCTGGCCAGAAGCGAGGGGCACCGGCCATCTTGTGCATGGACTCAATGAGCCGCCGGCAGTTGTCCTTGACCACAGATGGACGCTTCATGAAGAGCAGGCGAGGCACAATGTCCAGGAAGACTCTGCGCACCCAGGCAGGCATGTTGTGAGTGCGTGGCGAGCGGTGGTGCACGTTGAGCACAAACACTGTGATGACGATGGACAGGGTGACGAAGATCATGGTGAAGAGCAGATACTCGCCGATGAGTGGGATGACCAGCGAGGTGGACGGGATGATCTCAGTGATGAGAAGGAGGAAGACGGTGAGCGAGAGCAGCACCGAGATGCACAGCGTGACCTTCTCGCCACACTCGGAGGGCAGGTAGAAGACCAGCACGGTGAGGCAGGAGATCAGCAGGCACGGGAGGATGAGGTTGATGGTGTAGAAGAGAGGCAGTCGCCGGATGATGAAGGCATAGGTGATGTCAGGGTAGATCTCAGCGCAGCACTCGTACTTCCTGGTATTGTAGGTGCCCACAGCATCCACGATGACCCACTCCCCACTTTCCCAGAAGTCCAGCTGGTCCACACGGCTGTGCATGCTCACCAGGTCGATCTTGGCCTTGTCATAGGTCCAGGACCCGAACTTCATGGTACAGTTCTGCTGGTCGAAGGGGAAGAAGGTGACGTCAATGCTGCAGGAGCTCTTGTAGATGGCCGGGGGTGTCCACTGCACCCGCCCATCGTGGAACAGATGGGCCTTGGTCAGGTGGGTGACAGCAAAGTCCCCGTCTGCACTAGGAAGAGGGAGGAGAATAGTGAGGTCTGCTCATCCCTACACCATACCCACAAATGTTCCTTCGGAGAAAGGCTTATGGCCTAGCCCAGGGACCCACCGGTCATGTGGGCTGGTACATGTGGTCTTGGGCCATCACTCATCTGTGTGCTTCAGTTTATCATTCTCCAGTTTTGGCATGTGGTTCAGAGACTATGGAGATGAATGGGACTTGCCACAGTAGTTAGAGCAACAAGCGTTATAGCTGCTAGCCATTACTATTTATGAGGGGAACAGGGATGGGACAAACTCAAGGCTTGTCTCTGAGTGCCCAGTGTCCCCATGCATTTGCACGTCCATGCAGAGGGGGCTGGGTCAGCTCTGTAACCATTGCTGTTTGAGGCACCACGAGACTTTCCGCGGGCTTCCACTGTTCACCTGAGCTTCTAATTCACTGACGGGAGATGCTACTGTCTGTCCTCTTCAGATTGGGAACTAGCAATTGGCTCCTGCAGTGTGCACCCAGAGGTCCCTGCAGGACCACATCATCCCCCAACCCGGTGGGGGATGTGTCCACAGGGACAGGGCAATTGGGCCCACAGGCCTGATCCAGGAAAATGGGTGCCTGCTGGGACCAGTAGCAGAACAGGCAAGCACAGCAGGGTTTGAGACTTACCACCCATGGACAAGGAGGTCCTAAGACAAGTGGGTGCTCATCAAGTCCCTGCTAGATGGAGACGTGGGCCTCTCCACCCATCCCATCCATGCTGAGGCCCATGGGTATGAAAATGGTAGAGTTCAGAGCTGCCCAAGGTACTCCCTGATACTAATGCCTGTACTCCTCTGGCCTCCCCCCGAACTAGGCCCACATTCAGGATAGATCGGCCCCCACCTTTTGTCACTGGTGGTTGAGCAGGGGGCTTCCTCTCCACTGGCCCCCCAAAATTTGCAGGCCCACAGCACACAGGCTGGAGATGAACTCCAGCCACCCGATTCAGGCTCCAGTGTCTGACTGTAGGCCTCCTGCCTTTCTCTTTGCCTTGGGGGACGTTGACCAGGTTAGGCAATGGAGCAAGGGGCCTTCAGGCCCCCCCTCTTGGATACAGCTCCATCCCTGACACTTGGGCTTCACAAATGCTGATTCATGACTCAATTTGCCTACTATGGGAATTCAGCAACACTGAGAAGCACCCCCATGAAGACTTACCTCCACAGCTCTCTACCCAGAACTAGTCCTGGGAGCCCGGCCTCTACCCCATATGCCCACGGTACCTGGGCTGCAATGTGCCACTCTCTGGGCTTTGGTTTCCCTACAGGTCCACACTGTACACCCTGACTCTGGATTAGAGTTCACAGACTGTCAGAGGCAACAGCAATGCACCAACTGTTTTGGGCAGGTCCTGCCAGCCAGCTCAGAAATACTGATGGGAAACCTCAATTTATAGCTAATGAGCTCTTTGAAGTCTAATTAAATCCCCATTAATGACACCAGCATGCATCACTCTGGTCTCTGTGCCCAGAAGACAGAACAGCCCTGAACTACAGGCTCCAGCAACTTCTGTTTGCTCAGCTGCCCAGCCCCCTCTGTCCATTCCCTACCTCCATCCACAGGCCCAGCTCAAGGGCTAAGGCCTCTTAAAGTCCTTAGGCAGAGAGGTTCAGCTTCCCTGAATTTCATCAGCCTGTGGTTCCTACACCCCTGATCAGTCTGTCAGGGGCCTTTCTTTTGTGTGCTATCCACTCTGTTGCAGGGTCCTAGAGACCTGAGCCTCCTGTGGTCTCAGAGAGTGCCAAGTCCAACCCTCCGTGCATGGTGACTCATTCTGGTTGTCTCCCGTGCAGCTGCGTTGCATGTGGAAAAAGCAGGACTGCTGTTCTCTACATGCATTCCAATGAGGTTCCTGCCTGTACACTCAGAGCCTGGCTTCCGCAGACACTGAGGTTCCCTACAGGCACGGGGGGGGGGGGGGGGGGGC